CATAAATTTGATATATCTTTTTTTGCCACCGATGTACAGTCAATAACTCTGCAAGATATACCATAAATTTTACTCAACTGGCAAACACATTTTAACAGTCGCTTAAACCATAATCATATTCGAAAGTTTTCAAAGGGCTTAAAACCTCCTCCTCTCATTCGATTTTTGATTTATTACACTTTTCTGTTTTGCAACATTGTCTAATTTATCAGCATCTAACCTGCCACAGTTTAGAGACCAAGTGTAGAAATCCTGAGCATTAAACCGTTTTGAAAAACGTTAAAATTCTTAACAATATTTATCCCTTATTTTGGCATTTGAAGCAAATTTCCAACCTATGGTAGGTATAGGTACTTAAACCAAACAGAGCAAAATGAAGCGTTAATCTTTACGATTATCTGACTGTAGCTGACAAGTGCTACCTCGCAGATTGTGAGGATCAAAGGTAAAAGAAAAAGTTTTTCTTTCAACTTACCTGGAGTTAATGTCATCCGAGCAGCAAACAAATTTTGCCCTATTTTTGTCACCAATGCCACAGCAAACCGTATGGTACCAAGCTCTACACAGAGTGCATTGAATCCAAAAGATTGGAGCACTCTTCCCTTGAATGCATTTTGAAACTTTGCTTGCCATATAGTGCTCCTCCTCATTCATCAACTTAAGTTTTGGCCCTGAAAAGTCAATATTCATTCAAGAGGCCCAAGTAGATTTAAATCCGAACTTTAATAAGGACGTATATTACGTTAGTAACGTTACCAATTTTAATAAGCACGTTAATAACACATAGAATTGATCGGCTAAAACTGCTAAATTTCTGTATATAAATTCATTTCTTCTCTGCCAGTTGTCCTAATAGATGTTTTTCGCTTCATTGTGTAGAACAAATAATTTTGGGGATACCGAAACATATATTAAGGAATGAGAGTATAACAAAGTTGCAATTTCAATCTATAGAATGAAAGCAAAAGTATGGTTATTGTTTCAAGGCATCTATCTTAAAATAATGCATTGATAATGGTATTGCGAGAGTTTGCATTAAGGTTAAACTACTGGCCTTTAGAAAAATGATGCAAGTCAATAGCATTGGCTTGAACACGAGTAGAAAAATTAGGTTGGCCTGAAATAAATTTACGATTTTAATACCTATGAGAATGCCTACTGTGTTTGTTACAAGTGTCTGCATAGATATTTACCAGAGCATTAAGGTTAAACTTCTGGCATTTAGCAAATTGATGCAGAGCTTTACATTTCAATTGCTGGCATTCTGAACATTAATGCAAAAATCTATTCTTGCAGTTATTATCAGGCAGTTCACAGTGAGATTGCAAAAATGTGGCTTGACGATGTCTGGCTGAAGTTTTATTAGGAAGGCATGAATCGATTCCATTTGCAAGCCATCAGCAGAGGCAGAAATTCTTGGAATCAGCTTTTCAAGCGAGTACTGGATTTCCAGAAACCAGTGAGTGAAATTTTACACAGATTCAGTGGGGTGTTGTTGCATTGCATAGTAAATTGATAAGAGGTGCTAGGTTTGTTGGTCTTGAGAAATTCAACATTATGCTCGTAGCAAGCCTGTACATTCGTGGGGAAGTGCAATGAAATCCTTATGATTCTGAGCAGCATTGAGTTGAAAGGCATTTGCTGTCTCGAAACTCGCAAGCTGGGAATTCACAAACAGACTTAATCCACATTTTGCAAAATCTGTTTTCTGTAGCAGTTTTGGAAGAAAATCTAGAAGCCCCAGGACCATTCTTCTTCAAGACATGGGCAACATGAAGCAAAATGTCATATTCTCCCCAGGAAACATCAGGATTACCAGCAAGCCTGTGCTAAAGTGCAAAGTATCTTTGCTCATCTTTGAGATAAGAAGGAAATACGAAAGCAGGTCTCCTAACTTGTCCTTTTGCACCTTAGACATAATAGAGGTGTAAATGGGGGCTCAGCCAGGAATCGAACCTGGAACATCCCGTTATATACAAGTTACTTATAAAATCTACTCATCATATGTTATATACAAGTTACATTTGACAGATTATGATTGATTACTTGTGCATCTACTGTCCACAGCTTGGATTACTGAGACATACTACTGTATGAATCTACATTTATTGGCATTCATGGCTCAGTCTAGAGAAAGTGCGTGTGAACTTGGAAACTGGTGGGATGACAAAAACCTCAAAAAAGACTTAAGATGTTATGTTGGCTCCAACATGAAACGAGTAGAAATACTCGATTTTGTAAAGAGGGACTATTTCAGGTACAGCTGGAGAATACCAGCTCTTGATCGAAGGCTACGATATTTTGGTATTCGTTATGTGAACAGAGCTATTCCATTGCCAGAGGTTATAGATGCAGTGCAGGCAGAATTAGATGGTGGAGGACAAACGCTTGGATATCGAAGTATGAATCTGAAGTTAAGAAATGAATATGGCATTTTTGTACCCAGGAAACTTGTGAGTGATATTATGTGGGATATTGACCCTGAAGGAGTTGAAGCAAGGAAACTTCGGAAAAATAAAAAGGGTATGAAAAGACCTTTCATATGTGATGGGCCCAATCAGCTCTTCTCATTGGATGGGCACGACAAAATGATGGGGTTCCAGAACAGTACCTTCCCACTTGCCATATATGGCTGCCTGGATACATTTTCCAGAAAGATCATATCTCTTAATGTTTGGACTGGGAACTCCAACCCCCTTGTGATAGGAAAGTTCTTTATGATGTATCTAAATAAAGCCAAAATCATTCCAAATTATATACGCATTGATAAGGGGACTGAAACTGGTGTGATGGCTGCTATGCATACATATCTTAGGAGTAAAACTGGAGATTTGGAAGATCCAACTGAAAGTGTTATCTATGGCCCATCTACGTCAAATAAAATTGAACGTTGGTGGAGGGCACTTCATGAACGAATGGAGAAGGGCCTAACATTGTATTTGAATCAGTTGCTATCAAGATGCCTTTATGATCCACATAATGCAAGGGATCGTAATATTTTAGCATATATATTCATCCCTGTGCTAAAAAGGGAATGTGATGCATTTGTTAGATTATGGAATTCACACAGGATAAGACAACAGAAAGAGTTACAACTTCCAACAGGCATACCTGATCATATGTATGCATTTCCAGAACACTATGGAGGTGAGAACAAAGGCTTTGTTGTGGCAGAGAATGATCTAATTGATGCAGCTGACTACGCAGAGTTGATAAATGCACCATAAAACAGAGTTGATGATTACTTGTCTATTGAAGATAGAGCCAGATTTAGTGGATTTGTACCAGAACCAGGCAATTTAGAGTTCAGAGAAACTGTTGCAGTCTATGAGTATCTGAAGAATAGTTGCCCTCAATATTAATAAAAAATTATATTAACATAGATAAGGGGCTGCACACAAGTCGATTAGGGTTCATAGTAAACCTGGAAAACCTAGAGAACCTGGAAAATGAGCCATTTTTAGGAATAGTCAGGGAAAACCTGGAATAGTCAGGGATCTTTCTTAATTTTTAAACCTAGCCAGGGAAAAGTGAGGGAAAACAAATCATTTGGTCCATATTGCATTTTGATTGAAAATCTAAGCCATGGCAGATTTTTCAAAAAAAAGATTTCAATCTGAAATGTTATCACTTAGTCATAATGTTTTGGAACACAAATAAAAGTTACTTTTACTACCATATGCTACCTCTTGTTATAACAAGGCTGCTAAGCTCTTTATCTGTCTGTAAATGGGATTCAGGAAAACAAATAGTTGTTTTCAAAATCAAGAAAATGTTGATTTTTTCTGATAAGTTTGTCGTGCATTTTTTTGTTACTATTTCCTTGTAATCAATGAAAAAACCTCTGATAACATAACAGCTGAGGCCAAATAACAATTTCAAAATTAAACAAAAAACTGGCATCTACCAGAAAAGCAATATCAACAATTATTTCAAAACATAATGAGGAGGGTACTCCATATGATTTTCAAATCACAATCTTGTTGAATGTCCAGTGGATATTTTGCCTAAAAGAATCAATTTTTGTGCGGCTCTTAACATAGCCAATGAAAGCAACTTGTAACAAACAAAATGTCAATAGTAGTCAATGTTAAGCTTCCATGTATTGCAACATTTTATCAAAAAAGGATTACAAATAACCAGCTTTTTATGAAATTACACTGCTAGATTATTGATCCAAATTAAGAAGTTTGCAATACAAATTGCATACATGATGCAATGAAAAGTTTTTAAATGCATGGTCCTGAAGATTTCCTGCACAGAATAACTTTTCAGCATCATTAATTGAATCAGCAAGTGAAGACGTTGCAATCTCTGGATCACAGAGCTTATATCCAACTCCTTGCAAGTCAAGAAGTAGTAGTTTTCCTTCACTATCAGCAAGTGAAAAGTGGCATACTGCTTCTGCTTTTTGATGTATATCCTTGTTTACAATATTTGCTGCAATTGGCTCTCCATTGTTGTTGACATACTTGACAAAGGTTCCAGCTAGGAATGGTTCCACTGTTACAGGCACGTCCTCCATCATTGAAAAATATATCTCATCATAACTAAAGATCCAAATAGTTCCTTTTCTTCAATCTTCTTTTCCAAGCGATTCAAAATCCCCTTAGCAGCCATATGCATCTGCACCTGCTTTCTTGTGTGTTCAACAATTGTGGTGTCCCCAAGTAGTGGTTTGATGTTTTCCCATGTTTCTGCTTGGAACTTTTTTACAACCCAAGTCCCTTTAAAGTGCCATTGAACTACTTTAGTGAAAATTTTGACCATGTGTTTTTTTTAATAATTTATCGATTAATTAAGAGCCACTGAATTGAATAGTGCAATTATTTTTTGCGTGTCGTCTCTATAACACCTTTTAATTGAGCCCGAAAGTGTTGATTTTCGTGATCTTTTGTGCGAAAAAATCTACGCGGTCAGTCAGGAATGCGTGACATAATCTGATTTATACATCAGTCACGCACATACGGGTTTAGTATTAGTATACCAAAAGCCGGGTGAAATGGAAGTGAAGAAGAAGAAAAATACAGGTGGGAAAGGAAGGTACTGTGTTGCTGGAGCACCTAACGAAACCAGCTGTACAAATAATAGTTACACGCCTGGAGTATCGATGCATATTTTCCCAAGAAACCCGCAGCAAAGAAGGCAGTGGGTCTCTTTCGTTCGAAGGCATAGAGCCGGCTTCACTCCATCTGCTACTTCCGCGTTATGCTCAATCCATTTCAAACCGACTGACTTTGCGAGGAGAATAGACATTAGCATTGGAAACCCAAGTGAAAACATTACAAGCCTAAGAAGACTTGAAATCGGAGCGATTCCAACAATCGATGCAGCTGGAACCCTTTCAGGAACGCCGGAAAGTCAAAGGGATAAACGGAATGCGAGAAAGGTTCGTAGGGCCTAATTTTTTTACAATGGGTCTTTTCTTTTGCAGATGTATTAAAATTTAATAATAAACATACATATGCACAAGAAAGGCTTAAGAGTTCCAAATTAGGTTTAGGCTTTAATTTATACAAAAAGTAATGGTCTTTCTTATGACATTTCTAATGTCCTTGTAGCTGTTCTGTTCAATGTTTCTTCAATGCCAACTCCCAAAATTACTTTTTAGGCTTTAAAAAAAGCGATAGACGACGAAACGATAGCGAAGTTGCCTAACATTGACCCTAAAACCAAAGACACTGCCGATCCCTTCATCCTTGAATCAGTTCAATGCTCAAGTGAGGCTCATTCAGACGAATCTGTAGACACCCTAACCACAACAAAAGAAGCTAGCTGCCTTAAATGTCCAGTTTTGTCAGCTAAGCTAGTTACATGCCAGAAAAAGAACAGTAGGCTAAAGAAAGAGGTGAAGATGCTGAAAAAGAGAGTACATGAGTTGGAAAACCAGAATGACGATGTAAGTTTTTAAGGTTGCTGTTTAGTGTATGACATTTTGTTAGCGTTAAATTTGATGATAAGAACTTTGATAAATTTATTAAACATAGATTCCATACAGCGGTAAAGTTCTAGGAAAATAACAAGGGGGGCTCTTTCACTTATAGTAGTAAACAACAATAGCAAAAGTAGAGATCTGCGAATTTTCCGCAGCCCCCCTAGCTCTACTCCCCCGATTCCATATATATCGAGCTATTAAAATTTTTTGAGTATCTTGTTCTCACCATTTCAGCTATCCAGCTCTGATGATGAGGAAACGAATCACCAAGATGCTGATGGTGACATTTATTATTATGGAGAATCGGAAGATGATGGTGGAAATGATGTTTTGTATGATGTTTTAGAAGAGAATGATAATTTGGATTCTAGTGACAGTAATGTTGATTATGGGGAGGCAGAATCAGGTGGAGAAGAACCGGAAGAAACAATTGAAGATGCCTTCACTAATGCCACTATGAGAAAAACAAAAAATGCAATCAAGTAAGTATAGAACATTTAAACACAATAGTAAGATAGGGATTAATACAGTAAAGGCACTAGTTAATATTTTACTGAAGACAAAATGGCTTGACAATTATATCCACTCACATTATATAGATTGACAGATATTTATTTAGATAGATTCAAGCTATCAATGAAGATGCTTTCACTAAATTCTCATACCTTCGCTATGTTACTGTTCTTGGCCACATGAATAGTATTTAATACATTTTATTTCTTTGCATTAGCAAGGTTTTTAATGATACCTATTTTATGCAGCATCGAGGAAAATATTTCAACCCAAGACGAACCAAAGTTCATTGTATTTCAATCAATGTTGGTGGCATTATTTTCTTTGTTCTGCTTCAAATGTGGAGAAAAGAAACCATGGGTTGAATTTGTTAAGTATGGTACCATGGTAAAGGTCATCCAGTCATGCAGGAAATGCAAAAGAAAATTCATCTGGAGCAGCCAGCCATTGGTCCTGGGGCAGATTCCCGCTGGCAACATTCTGTTAAGCTTTGCTACTCTTACTGCTGGTGCCTCTATAAGCAAAGTACTGCTTCTTTTT